TTATTGGCATTCTGGACGGGTTAGGCGAGCAACGGACCAATAGGACTCTAGGCTGATCAGACTGGACGGACGACATTGGCTTAGTACAGTTCAAGAACGAAGAAGTCGTACCTTGATTGGCGAATAAAATACGTGATAAGAAGCGAGCCTAAATACAAAACAGTCCCTACCCAGAACAGGTACGCCATTCTAAGACACATTGAAATGTGTTATAATGTCAGAAAAACTAAATTTGTAGATTTAAAATAATTGTCAACAGTTTTCTCTTATACAAACCAGTTTGTGGTACTGAGAACACTCTATAACTATGAAAGCTACCGCGGTAAATGACTACGTGGTACTTTGATTAAGAAATTCTGAACTACCGTAAGCCATTAACTAAAATGTTGTTGCATTAATTATAATGCAGACAAACCATCAGTACCTACTAATTCACACTTAGAAAAAATGTTAGATGGTTTTCACAAGGAAATGACTTTAGAAACTACCATTGATGACTTGAGTGAGGTTGCAGTTGATTATTACTCCCAGTATTACAAAAGCAGCCGCAATATCAGATCTAATATTAAGGCGAGTAATAAGTTATTAAAATAAGCAACTTCGTTATTTTGTTGCTGTTCAATATGAAATTCTAGCTTCATAGGGAGACTAGGAATATATACTACCATCACGAGTATGAAAGATCCACCTGGGGGAGTCGGGAAACCTTAATTCCGAACCAATGGTGTGTACAGGCTCCAGGTGCCTGAGGAAGCGAATGGAGTACTAAACTATTTCTGGACACCGACCATGATGGAAATCTACCTCAACGTTGCTGTATTGCCTTGTGGATTAGAGCCATTGGTCAAAACCTCGGGGAGTGACTTCTGAGAAAACCACCTGCTTTGGTTTAGGTACTCGGTCAGTGGCGCGATCCCACACACAAATTTGATAACTACTTTGTATAGCGCATATACATATTGGCGGCCTGCTTGAATATCTGGGCTACCTGTTCCTTCGATCTATATATTTCTTCAAGTTATCTGTTTTGTTGTTCGTTTTAGCATATCAATATGTCTATTGTGCTCACAATCTATTCGGGCGCGTTTATGAAAAGTTTACAACCTTTCGCTATACGGGATACAGAAAGGTACAATCAGCGACATCATGGTGGCTGGCAATATGCATTGAAACGAACAAACATTAATCAAATGCGGATTATCGAATTCCTAACATCTAACTGGTCATCATTCGAAATTTATCGTCACAATCGATCAAGATATAAAAAAAAGAAGCTTGTTGAAATACTTTATGCTGAGAATTCTATGTTGTACGAAAAGTATAATGTTGAATAAAGCTTCTTATAATAATAATGTTTGTGTTTAAATAAATAATATTCAACTTTGTGAAAATTATTTCATATAGGGTCCAACGTTTGCTATACGCAATCCTAAACTACACTAATAAAGTTTAGATTCAACCAGTCACGAATATATGACGGATATGGCAGACGTTGAAGAATGACTAAGCCGCTAAGGTAGCTGGGGTTCTACAATACGTTTATACGCCTGAAAATTAACCCACTTCAGTTCGATTAAAGGATTTGATTATTAAAACAAGTCCCCATAAAACGGCACAGATAAGCGCCGACTACTCAAATATAAGGTTAGTTTTTGAGTTAATTAGAAAAATTGAAACAAAAATCTACTTGAGAAAGTTTATGTAGTACAGACAAATGTATTTTTACCCGCAAACCTGACGAAGCAAGTTAGATCACATACTAAAAAATGACCATTAGTCCCAATACAATATATAAAATAAGACTTTGAGCGGTTATAAAAGACAGATGATTTATATTCAACAAAAAGTATACATTTTCAATCATGTTGTTCAGTGTGTGGTACACTACCCAAACGTTGAGGATTTTGGCTTGGATAATGAATACCCAATTGATCATCATCAGCTGGTGTGTTTTTACTAGACTTTGATTCATTCAATGTTGAAGTCATTGTTGTGCTGAGTTGTGACTTAAGAGGAGGTGGAGGCGGCGGCGGTGGCGGAGGAGGAGGCATAGGCAACAAAGAAGATGAGCTCGAATCGCGTAGGGCAGGAGGTGCTAATGGTGGAGGGTTTCGTAATAAACTTGGACGTACGGTGAAATGAGGCAAAGGTGGAGGCGGTGGACCTCGTAAGAACAATTCTAGAAACAATAATAAAATCATACACACAGTTGATTAAAGAAATTTATTTCGAACATTACACAATGGGTCCGATTTTCGTAGTTTACACAATAACTAAGGTACACTGAGAATATGGAAGACAATAAACTATGGAGAGGTTATGTCAGAAGAGATTAAATGGTAGGGAGTTTACGGTATTGTAAGTATTTTAATGTTATCTTTTAGACCAAAGACTTTTGAATAGAACAAACAGGTTTTTTCAAAATTCCGGAACATCCATTATCAAACTGTACGAATGTTGTAGTACGTTTTCGTGTTTTATACTTCTTTTAACTAACTATTTATTATACTCATATACTATATAAAAGTCATCAACTCATACCAAAGCTAAATTTTTCAGAATTACAGCAGGACCACCACAGTGATTGGTATATTTTTCTTTTCGTTTATCCTTTAGAGAAACTATAGAAATTTGCCCTGTAACTCCTGGATTAAATATAACGTGCGATGAAAACAGGTCACCTATAGTTTATCGTAAACTTCTGTTGATGAACATAAATGGCAGAGATTATCAATAACATTTTATGAGTATATTTATTAGAATATTCACAAGTTACATGAGTAGAAAAAAGGAAATTCTCACAACGCTTCTATCTGAAAACTTATGATTTTAGACAAAACGAGAGACATTGAATATACTGATCATTACGCTATACACGTAAACCCAATAAACTAATCACAAAACCGCAAATGATAGGTAGTGGTTTAGTGAGGAATAAGTAACATCGAGGTTAATTACATAACACCCAATACACATGTAAAATATCTAGAAATTGGGTAGCTAATAATGGTGTCATCCATAGTAGAGTCTACATGAAATGTTGATTTCGGGGTAAGTATATCTATCATTACCACTGCTAGGTGTCCAGACAATCGTTCACATACAAGCACGGACTGAAATCCTATAGACTGATTGGCGAGTGCGAGACACATTTGCAATGTCGCATACAATTACTTGAAATGTCTTGCAGTACACTAATGAACTAGACATCTTACACTATCTTATAAATAAACTTCAAGTCATAAGTACTCAGCTGATATATACATAAATTCTAAAGGATCTTTTAAAGTTTATTATTTTATATTGTTTATCGTGGAGTGTTTTTTGTTGGTTGGCCTGTTTTCTTTCTAGAATCTAGCTGCAATAAATACTGATTTTTATTATCTGGAATTTTGAAGCAATTTATTCTACTACTTGTTTTTACTTAGAAGGTACAGATTATCTATAAACAATCGTTTTGTAATTCGCCAAAGGAAGAAGTTTCGGTAAAGAAAAGACTGCCAGAACGTTGAAAAGGTGAGCTTTAAATTTCACCAAAAAAAGCAATCAGGTATTAGAGATTATCTCGACAGAAACTAAGATAAATTTACAAATACTATTTGTTCCAGAGACTATGAAGAGTGACGTTTTATGGCTGCAAATAGTTACATTGATCCGAGTATCATACAGTCAACAGGGAAACAGTTAATTTGATCAAATATTTAGTGATATTGGATTGGAAAATACCTTTGAAGCATAGAAAGTCAAACAAAGTCGGTTTGAAAATTAGATCAGTAAACACCCAATTTAACTACGTTTGAGGCCCTCTAGAGTCAACTGCTTATTCCAAACTCGGATAAATGAGGAGGGTTGTGTATGGGGTCAGCAACCGTGCTATAAAAACTAAGTCAGAAAAAAACAATTTAAGCCATTCAAACCCTGTCCTGGAAGTTAAAGGATCTTCATTTAGAAGAATGATAACGCCTCATGGTGAAAACCGAGATTCATCAGAAGTCTCAAGGCCGATAACTCTTCCAACAACAATTAATATAGGTACATGGAATTCACGGACAATATGAGAGACTGGAAGGACCAGTGAAATAGCCGCCGAAATAAGGAGATACAAGTTGATGTTGCTCAGAATGAGTGAAATCCATTGGAACCAAGCTGGATAGAAAAGATTAGATTCGGGAGAGATACTGTTATACTCTAGCCAGGTAGAAAATCCTTTACACATACAAGCAGTTGCACTGATTCTGTCCAGAGAAGCATTAGAATTACTTATAGGACGGGAATCTCATGGATCCAGGACCGCCAAATCATCCTTCAAGACAAAGAAGAAGAGGAACATAATGAATGTTATCCAGTGCTGTGGGCCCACCAATGATAGCAACAAAGGTGATAAAGACAAGTTTGACGAGAGGCTGCAGTCGGTCGTAGAAAAGTGCCCAACAAAGGACCTGACGATCTCGCCAAAGCTGGGATAAAGAACACCGGGTGTGAAGATATCATGGGATGACATGAACTGACTGGGAGAAAAGAAACGGGAATGATGAGAGATTTGCACATTTATGTGCATTTGACAAAATCGTTATAAGCAGTACTATTGTTGTGTGCTACTGACCTCGACAGACATAAGTAGTATGTAACCAATCGAAAGTGAAATGCCTGGAGGCAGAAGGTTAAGAAGATCAAAGAAAAGAGAACAAAGAATGGTTGCTGTGGAATCGAAGGAACAGTGAAGTCTGAGACGATTGATTGACATTTGCAGAAGGAACATTCAAGTTTGAGACGATTGATCGATATTTTGCAAATGAAGTATTTACGGTATGGTTATCAGATTTTACTAAGAGATCCTGTAATTTTGTGTTGAAATACATTTGGTAGTCTCCACTTGTTTTCTCGTTCACTAAATTATACTCCCCCACAAACGCATACACAAAGCTAAGTGCGTCTCATCGAATCACACTACAGAGAACCCGACCGATCATATTTGGGTCACTAAAATTTCCAGAAGACCCATGGAAGACGTAGGAACAAAGAGAGGAGCTGACATAGCTTCAGATCACCACTTGGTGTTTGCTAAGATGAAACTGATGCTAAAGAAACACTGGACAACTGGAGAAACAACATTACAAAATTTTAACACAGCCTTCCTTCAAGATGCTGATAAACCCAACAAATTCAAGACAGCTCTCAATAACGGGTTCTAAGCCTTACAAGATTTACTCAAACAGGATGAAACTACATGAAAAGAATGATCAGCAACTGGAAAGGATTGCCTAGGATACTTTGATGGAGGATGCTGGTGGGCGACATATACTTCTTCACGAGTGGCATCGGGAGTAAGTAGGGAAGGAGGTAAACTTCCAATTTAGCCAGCTAATTTATTAACCCTTCGAATGTATTAATTCTGTGCATCGGTCTTGTAGTATATATTTGGCTGGCTTGAAATTCTAAAAATTGCCAATTAGAACCTCAATCGTTTCGGAAATAGAATCAAACAATCAAAGCTTGCATTTATGTCACAAACAGAAGGTTGCTCGAACTCGTCTAATTAGACTAACTGGCAAACTGAAAGGTATCATAATTGCAGTTCATCGCTTATCATTATTGGTCGTATCATGGTTCACAGGTTGATTTAAAATTTGGGAAATCTGTCAAACTTACAAAAAAACAGTTCACTTGGTGACTCATCCATCAGGCTATGTAGCAGAAAATAAATAGCAGAACCAAAAACGTATCTACGATACACATTGTTTAACTAATTAAACATTGTTACTTACCTCCAGGAGGTGGTGGTTCAGCAACTGGTGGTGCAAGTTGAATTGGAGGTGGAATAAGTGGCATCCTACTACTGGACACATGATCGGAACTGGAACCTATTAGTGACTTGGTAGTAGGAGGCGGTGGGGGAGGTGGCGGTGGTGGAGGTGTCATAAAGAAATTCCCGCTAAGACCGATAGTCATAGCTTTATTTAGTAAGTTGGTAGGCGGTAAAACAGGTGGCAAAGGCAAACCAGGAACAGGAGGTAGACTTATATCACCAGCTTCTGTTGATGAGTGAGAGTTGGCAGCCGCCAAAGCTGCTGGTGATTTCCCCCAATTGACTGTTAGTCTATGACCACCCAAAATTAATCGGTCATAAGTCCGCTCAGCCGCACGTTCAGCAGCACCTCTAGTTGCGAACTGTATGAAAGCACAATGTTGTTTGGCATGGAGATTAACAGAACGCAGCTCTCCAAACTGGTAAAAATGATTGCGAAGGTCTTTTTCCGTCATTCCATCAGGAATACCTCCAATATATAGTGTGGTTATTGTACGATCCTCAGGAGGAATAAGTTTAGGCATTGTGTCATATTTCGACAGCAGTTTGGCTGCCACTGGATCATCGTGACCGTAGTAACGATCTCTTAGATTCTGGTCAGAAAGAGGATCATCAGGATCGGTAGGCTTTTCATGCCTATATGGACATTCTTCTCCTCTCCTACATTCACCTTTCACCCAAAAAGAGCATATGTGTGGGCGATTTCTACGATAATACGGTGCAGTACGGGCTAGCTTTAAAAGTAAATCTGTGCCTCCACCACCGCTAGAACTGCTTGCCGATGCTGTGTTTGAAATAGCTTTTCCAATTAGCTGATTTCCTCCATATGGAGCTGTTATGTCACCTTCCACTTCAAGGTTCTGTTCAATTTGTTGGTGGAAATATTCTCGATTAACATCATTTTTCGGCAATTGTTGTGATAAACGAAGTGCTTTATCACGGACTTCAACAGGAAGACCGTATTCGAGGTCGAACAAACAGGTCTGGCAAACATTTTTTATCTTTGCACAGCTCTGACAGACTTCAGTCTTTTTGAATCTGGCTTTGGGACCAGGGCACCAACGAAAAACAGTGAAAGGACGGTCACAAATTTTACACTCCTTGCCATATTTCTCTTTCATCATTCGAACGAAGGGACTTGGTCCTAAGCATGTCTCACATAGAATGGGAAATGACTAAACAATAGATAAAACAAACGAGTGGTTGGTGATATAAGCGAGATGATAAGGGAGCGAAATATATATGACAAACTGGAAAAAACACGAAAAGTGGTTGACTATTCATTAAAATAAACCATAAATTCTCTTGATACACTTACATTAGAATCATTGTGATTAACATTGTTCGTGAGGTTTTCGTTCTTATAGATCTTTGATGTTTCACTGTAGTTCGGGAATAGTGAACCCGAGAAATTCTGTAGGGCCAGCGAAATGTCAGTGTCCTAGCCAAATCATTCGATGGTCGGGTCACTGAATGTCGAACAATTCACTGATCCTCGTCAAGGGCAACCAACACGCATCAGTTAATTGCACGCCATGGACTGATCCATGAAGCAGTGGTCGCACTTTGTTTCTTGAACTTACTCTTACTTATATATTTCTGTGATAACGTCGTTTGTGTTGCATGGTCACCAAAGTAGACAGAACCTTGATACGACGAAAGGGTAAGCCATGTTAGGTACTAATCGTGAGGTGTGACTTCGACTGTAGCTAGATGTCCACACCATTCGCGTCTAACTCGAGTAGGCCCCCAATCATATGACACAGACCATCCTACGCTAGTAATCTACAAATCTAACAATCTAACAAAGTACCAACCGAATATTTACTTTGTAAGAAGATTTGGGACATGGATAAACTGGAACGCACTTGTAATTATAATTTAAATAATAATGAGGGTAGTAGGACTCTTCTGCCAACTACCCATACTTACTTTTGAAACAATGAAGGTTGGTGATTTTAATTGGCAACCGAAAATAAGGAACGCAGATTGGCGTTTGATCTCCCAAAATATTATTTGGAAGCCAAATGCTTTAACCCTGAAGTCATATCTCTTAACACGATCGGATTGAGCTACATTAATTAAGTCTAGTCGTAGAATCTATCATTGTAGGGTGCGCCAAGAAACTACTAATCTGCAAACGGATTCTTACTCTGTACTCTTGGTCGGTGAACTTTAATCTAAACCAGCCACTCTGAATGGTACAAGACAAAACTATGTGCCCTCATCAATTTACTAAACATGCTAACGCCTGGATGTGTCAGTCAGTCAGTAACAAAGTAGAACTTCGTACGTACGTACATCAGTTCGAGTTGCCACACCACATTAGCACAGAGATGCAGTGGTCGATTCAAATCCCGTAGTGGTAGAGGTAATAAGAGTATAAGCAGTAATCGGGAACATTAGTGTTTTGAGATGTTACTTAAAGAGTATAATACAGTGAAATAAATTTGGAATAGAAAAAAAGAGACAAGGAGGAATAAGGAGATCAAAATTTCGGAGAACACAAAGAGTGTATGTACCTGCGCCATTGCAAACGATTTTGAGCCATGTCATTCAGGGTCTCTAACCATCGGTAGCTATCATCTCGCGGTCCCCAACCAGGTAGTCTACACCTACCGACATGACTCAGACCACTTGTCAGTGACTTCATGGACTTGTGCCATGTTTTGGTCTGGCCGCCCCTAGCTTTCTTCCAACCTACTCCTATACCACTGAACATCGCACGTCGAGGCAGCCGGTTGTTGGGCATACGTAACACGTGTCCCAGCCATCTCAACTGATGAAGTTTCACTACGTCATCAATTGATTTGCCATCCTTACCTAGTACCCGTTTCCTAACAACTGTATTACTTACTCGATGGTCCCATGATATACGAGAAATATTTCGAAGACACCTATGATCAAATACTAGTAACCTACGGATATCTTCTACTCTTACCGGCCATGTTTCACTGCCATAAAGTAGGACGGAACGAACTGCTGCGCAGTAAACGTGAGGAGGGTCAGTCATGGAGATAAGAGGTATTAGGAGGTGTAGGAAGGATTTGAATGTGACCAACTTGGTCTCGTGTGCTGTTACGGGTATGAGGGCTGATATCACTTCCCGGTTGCCCACACCGTGGAAGGGTGTTTCTTGGGGAACCTGAAAAGGAAATTGGATTAGTGTTGGTCTTAACGACCTGGAAGCGTGACCGCAGAGCCCAAGGGACAACTGCTTGAGACCGGTCGCGCACGGCCTTTTCGTGGAAGGTTTTTAATGTGTTAGCTCCGTTCTTCAAAGGGCCTTACCGCCGGAGACGGAAATCCGTGAGGTAAGGTGAGGTGTGACATTTTTAGGGTCAACCTTTTCTAACCCCACCCCTCCTTGTGGGAAGGCAGCATCGCTGCAGATGCTGGTTGTCTGAGGGAAACACCTTACTGCTATCACACCCCTCTACAGTCAGCAGTACGACATCGCCATCAGACCTTGAGTTGCTGCTTTTAGTCTTACCGTTCTCCAATCGACCTGCCTGGCATGGTAGAACCTACAGGAACATATGTTCCAGCCAATATAGCTCGGTTGGGTCATCACGATAGGCAAGCCCGACCACCGCGTCAAGATAGCAGCTTCGGTCAGGCGCCTGGATGTGACTTTTACCTGATTTTGAAAAAGATAGATTTCCCACTTGAAAACCCTCTAATCTATTTGGGGTAGATAGATAAGTTTTATTTGAAAAAACATGAAAAAGCCTATATTCTGAACGTCTTGCGTGAACACCTGAGATTGGAGTACTATTTAAACTGAAATCAGAAAGCATTCTAGCGGTTCCTGTTAGGACCACTTCTGTCCAAAATTATCATGAGTGTACTTGACTAAACGGTTATCATCATACCGAGTTACTTTTTATAATAAGACCTGCTAAACAACATGGAAAGTAAACATAATATGTTGGACAAGGGGATCAATAAGATGTTTTAAAAATAACTTAAATGCGTTATTTTATATATTCATTCATTTTAACACATAGATATTGGTACAAGAAGGCACCAAATACATATGCGCCACACAAATCTCATTTGATATTTGTGAGGGCTGTGATACTGCCCGGGTGCCCAAACCGAAGCAGGTGGTTTTCTTAGGGGGCCACACCAGGAGCCTTCGACCTGAAGGTCCGATCCACAAGGCAATGAAGTGTCGTAAGGAGATGCAGTCCCATGGAAGCCGGTGACCAACGATTGGTTCATACGCCATTTGTTCCTTCAGGATACTGGAGCCCATGTGCACCATTGGTTTAGAATCAGGGTTTTCCAACTCCCCTAGATGAGCTCACCCTGTCCCCCGGCCCGGTTAAAGCGCCGGACATTCGCTTTTCGTCCTCTCATTTTCGTAAACAACACCCCCTCCACGAGAAGGCAGTGAGGACTTCCCTGGCAGAGGCTATATACGCGTGGCCATGTGAGAGCATTTCGAGAGGGAGAGAAGACTCTCTCCATTATCGGCCGTACCAGGGCATTTGGGGGCTTATGTTTTAACTCATAAAGTGTATAATGACACTTAGGGTACTAATGTATGCAATATGTGCAGTTTAACAATTAAAAGAGAGTGGATAAACCTGTTATTTTTATTTCTGGGTTGAATAGGCTTTGATGGTTGAAAAATACTTGGAAGAGATATTAGACACCTAACTACCGTTATTAGTGTAGGTTACTAATAAGCCTCAAGAAAAATAACATTCCTATCGACAATTGAAAATAAATGTAAAGGCTTTTGTCCTAACAAATAGCTTTGAAATGTGTCAGCATATTATAGCGAAATGTGAAGTGTTATTGGCTGATTACGTGTCCATGATGTATTAGTCTATTGCGTTTAGAACGGTGTAAGTAACGTCTAACGATAAAGGCTATTAATAAACCCACTTTATGATAAGCAGAATCAACTGGTCAAACGAGTGCATTATGTTGAAGTAGCCATACTTAAGTTCTATTGGACTGGGCATCATGGATATTTTGTTTGAAATTCGAAAACCTGTTCAAAATCCGGATAACAGGTGTTTAGGAAAGACATTGTAATCTCGTAATAAGGAATGCTTTCCAAACCTCAAGAACGTTAGGTTATCTAAGTAAAGCAATATTAACAAAACAGCAAGACCAATAGTCCTTGCAAACGACAACACTTCTAGAGGAGAAGAACCCAAGACTTAGGTGATTGATATTTACTTGACTGTGTAGTTGATTTATAATGACTGAGGGAGCCATAATTAAGATGCGGAGCGAAGTTGATAAGAGACCACATGGACACAGTAATTAGCAATCAATTTTAGAAATTGCTGAATCCATATGGGGTTGTGAGCAGTCTTTTTCCGTCGACGGTTATCATAAATGTCTTATAACAATTGTCCGAAAACAGGATTTTAAAATAGACTTGTAGATCATTGCATATGACTAAGAAAGTAATAATCGCACATTGACACATCCACAAAACAACACCTTAGTGTTTTTCGAGTTTGTTGTTTGGAGGACCATATTCTGAGTTAATGTATAAACTTAACTATACATAATATCTTACAAGTAACTTATACGTATTTTTGGAGACTAGGAAATTTGTTGTCAAAACCTCCTAAAATTTAAACGCACTTTAAAAATATGTCTACTACTTTATCTAGCGTTCAGGTATTACACTGGGGGATACTTACAGAATCTTCCCAGTTCTGACGGTTGTAGGTGTTGGCACCCTTAGATGCCGCCATTTCGAGACACGTTCAAAATTCCGCTTGCGCATACTCAATATCCAATGTCTTTGATATTAGTAAGTGTAAAACGAATAGCTTTCCAGTTCTCACGTTACCGTCCTTGTGCTTCATTCCCAGATTCTTTACCTCTTACAGTAAAGTTATTCGTGTCGTCCAAATTAGATAGCAGTGTGGAAATTTGACTGTTCATAGCGTACTAGACGAGATGTCAGATCTTTTTCCTGGATTAGGACAACCCAAAGAACATAACAGATGGGTCCAAAAGCTAAGATGGCACAAACATCCAGATTTCATCACTGGACTATCAACTCTCAGAATCCTCGACCTGTAGTATTGGTGTCAACATCTGAAGTTGACTCATTAGAAAAGAGTATAAATATTCATAAAAAGACTTATAAAGGCCTCCAGTTTCGTCTTCTCAGTACGCAGATTTGGATCTGAAGTTTGGGTTATGTGACGGTTTTTCATATGCTGTGTGACATTTTGTTATACATTTCCGTTTAGCCTGGTATTAGAAAATTTTGGGGGATTTCTAATTACGTGACTGTGAGTGATTGATATTTTTGCTTTGTATTCTAGATTTCGATCGCGTTACGCAATATTTTCAAAGGTTGACAGTTGGCTAGAAAATACATTCGCCTATTTGTAAATGAAACTTATGTATTTAAAATATCGCAACTATTTAGTAATAGACAACTCTTTTTCCATGAAAAATTTATGACCGAAGGATTACCAGCGGTCGAACTAGAAGTCAGCAATAAAAGAGTTAGAAGATATACCTGGAAGATAGTCAGTATGAGGAGCGTCTCCAATCACCAAACCTTTACTCGTTAGAGTGCAGGCTTCTTAGAGGTGACCTAATAGCTTTCAGTATCCTTACCACTTCTGGATATCCTCTTAAAGGCCTAATTAATTTGGCTCCAACGCAAACCTAAGGGGTAGCACCCAGAAACTGAAGACACAACACAGCAGAATGGACTGCTAACGCAACTTCTGCTCCTCAAGAGTTGTCAAATGCTGGAACTCGAGTCCACGAGATTTCTCATGCATCCTTTAAGAGGAAGCTTGGTCTGTTCTTAAGGACTAAGAACAGTATCTTACTGTGATCTACCAATTTTTATTTCCTCTATTATCATTAATACACCTAGGTTTCTGCCCGGAGGTACTGATGACCCAATGCTACTAGACGTGGAAGCCTGTTAAACGAAAGCTTCTATTCTATCCACAACTATTTGAACCATTTGAATGTCGAGAAGTGTATGATTTAGGCTATCTTGTTAAATTGAGATTTTTCGCTGCTCTTATGCGTCTTTACTTTCAGTTTACCTGGTAGATATATATGTAAACAGAAATCAGGATTTATGAACGGGAAATCGCCAGCGATCTTGATATGCATTGTGCTTTAGGTCAACGGAATTACAATTTTCACCACTAATTTATTCCTCGCTTAGCTTACTGCAGCTCTAGAACCATTATTCTTACCACAAAGTATTTACATCATTCGTCCAAAAAAGAAACTCATTTGTTGATGGTATATATTTCAATATAACTTATCAGATCATCTTTCATAATGACACTATTTTCTATCCTTATCACCGTAAATCACTTCATAATCACAGGGCCTGCATGTTACCGATGGACATTAACATAAGTTTTGAATTTTTTGATTTCTTAATAATATTTATTTCCTGACCAGCTATTAATGCATACCTTCGATTCATTATCCACGGCGTTGGTGCCCGGAGGAGTTTCATAGATTTCATGGCGATACACGACGAGCAATAACTTCTCAAGTCTTCGACGACCCTTCAAACGACCATTGGATCTAACGAGGGAGTTTTGTCCGGAACCAGGCTAGGTCACATCAACCCTGTTTAAGTTGATTAGATCGACTGTTCACATGGGTTGTTGACGTATCATATGTTTCCAGTGTGGAAGGCGAGTATTCAAATTTTCGTTACATAGCCATAATCAGATTTGACTTGGTTTTTGATCTCATGGGATTTTATGGGCACATTCAGATGAAGGTTCTCGATCATACATCATGAGAATATTTCACCATTGCCCCGAAAAAGGTTATCACCATTGTATAGATGTCTAGGATAGTTGTGTTAGTTTCTACAACATTTATCCACTAACAAGTATATATGTTTCTCCCTTACTTGTTTCTTGAGTATATCGTTTGTGTGATAAATGTCGAATATATTTATGATGCTAGAAGAACAGAAGCAATGAAGGAACAAGCTAAGGTCTCATTACGAGAAAGTTGATTATTCAGTCATCCATGTGGATGTAACTTTACCTCACTTTATTTAATAACTGGTGAAGATAAAGAAGAAAATAAATAAAGAAATGTTTCGTTGATTCATGCAGCAACGTGGTCAATTGGTGGCTCGACGAAGATTTCTTTTGTTTACATGCTGCGTGCCTTAATGAGTAAGAGAAATATTTTTATCTGTTAAAATCACTAGATCATTCTCTACACGCGTTTTCATAAATTTCAGGTCATTTGCCACTTTTACCAGCAAAGTGAGTCAACGAATCTTGAAAACTCTAGAAAAGAGAGACTGTAAAAGAAGACCGGGAATGTTCTTACCAAAAACATAGTGGAATTTCCACTGTTTTTAACACATAAATAGTCAGTGATTTTTTACCAAATATCCATCTGATTCAGTTTGGAATACTTCGTTTTTGAGTGCTGTTGGCTTGTAGACTTTCGCAATAGACCGTATATCAGAATAGGATAAGGAAGACAACACATTTCGGGATGGTTATTGCAATGGTTTATAAAAAAGTTGCTCAAACACTCTATGGTAGATACAACATTCACAACTAACTCTTAACGACCGCAGCTGTTATTTGATCAGTGCGATACAGCTTGTGTGCCGATATGAACTTGCCATCACCGTGATCTAACTCAACTGTTGAATTATTATAATCTACTAGATAGAGACCAGTATTCGCTCACAATTAATGACCACGGAGTATAAAATCGATCCAGAATTATCGTAATCGGAGCAAATCTTATTAGTCTGATCTGATAGAAAAATTATCACATAGAAATCTAACACATGAAGACTTGACGTGTGCTACACATGGAACGGAAGCATAATTGCAAAGTGTCAGCAATCTTGTGTGCCCAATAGCTTGTCTATAGAGCGAAAATATTTTCGCAAATCTATCTCCAAACAGTCGAAAGCCCTCTGAAACGGATATGCCAGACGATAGTGGAAGTCAAACCCTTAGAATTCTTAACCTGTCTCAATGCAAATGACGGCGATTAATATCTCCTTACAATCCTATCGTCCAAATATCAAATACGTTATTCCGTCGGCAAGACTGTCCTCCTTCTTCAAAGATTTTGACAAATCAGGATACTCTGACTGTCAAAATTGAGCAGATTTGGTTAGAAATGACGTGTTATCGATGCAAAAACATACGGATTCGACATCCGTATCGTGGCTAGTCAACAGTAGTCGATTAGGTCTATTGACTAAGTAGCATAAATACGTTTAATAATAGTGGTCGTTTTCCTGAAAAACAGTTATCCATACCAATAAGAAAGAACTGTACCAGACCAACATGGTGTCAAAAACCAGTCTGCCAATGATACTCTTCGTGGCGAAATCTCTCTCTAGAATGTTAGGTGACCTGAAATTTCAACGATTTGAGAATCTTAAGGCCTATCCAAATAAATTTACTCCATATTATTATCTCGACCATATGGCATATTGAAATAAGTTCAGAAAAAAGCTACGAGAGGTCACTAAAATTAGCTAATAAAAATCTACATTTCGATACGCAAAGCAATATGATTTCCAAAATACGTCGAGGAAGACAGAACACATTTCCAAATCGAATATGACTCATAATCAGTTAATAATAATGTGTATCATCTAGTTCTAAACGTTGAATATGAAAACTACCGACCGAATAAAACACTAATTTGGTCAGTAGTATTTCCACATGTTGCAGCTCAATGAGCACATTCAAGTGTAACACGCCGTCTAGCAACATGCTAAGTTAAACAAATCATGTAAATGATGAATTTACTTGATCTTAGCCCCAAATGGTAGCCTCAGGTGATAAGCATGACTTAGTACCACTGTGAGATTCAATGTTGACATCAGAATTGTTAAACGTTAATTTAAAATTGATCATGTTATTGACATATCAAGGGATGAACTTATAAGACATACAAATACAGATACGAGAGCCAACTAAACATAGCAAATAACTTAAATGGTTCAAATGTTTGTGGACGGAATAGAAGAAGCTTTCGCTTAACAGGCTTCCGTGTCTAGTAGCAGGGGATCACCAAATCCTCCAGGCAGGAACCTAGGTATGTTAACAATAAAAAGGAAAAGAAATTGGTAAATCATAATGTGATGCTGTCCTTGGTCCTTAAGAATAGGTCAAGTTGCCTCTTGAAGGACTCCTGAGAAGTCGCTTGGACTAGCTCGGCCGGCAGCGAATTCCAGCTTTTGACAACTCTTAAGGAGTAGAAGTTGTGTCTACATTCCGTCTTGCTATGTTGTGTTTCCAGTTTCTGGGTGTTACCCCTTAGGTTATTATTCGAACTAAGCTTAAGTAGGTGTTTAAGAGGATGTCCAGAAGTGTTAAGAATACTGTAAGCCATTAGTAAATCACCTCTAAGACGCCTATATTCTAGTGGGTAAAGGTCTAGTGAACGGAGGCGTTCTTCGTAAGGCTTAGATTTGAGTCCTCGAACTGATTTCGTGGCTCGCCGTTGGATACGCTCCAAAGTGACCTTGTCCTTCTGGAGTGAGGGGGGGAGTACTATGTTTCCGTACTCTAAATGGGGACGGATAAAACTATTGAAGATTGTGTGGAAAGTTCGTCCGTCAAACTGTCCAAAAATGCGCTTCAACGTTACCAGTGCAAGGTTTGCTCGGAAGGCATTTTTGTCACAGTTAGCGTAAGACTTTAAGTCATGGGGTACCAGGACTCCTAAATCTTTTTCGACTTGGGATACTACTAGAGAGGAGTTTCCTAAGTTGTAACTGTAGT